TAAGTGATAGGAAGCAAGGTCAATCATCAAGAATGCTGCATTATTAAGACAGAAATTGCAAAGACATGGGACAGAATGAGCAGTAAAATGCATGTGTGGGCAAGTGGTCCAGGAGTTCCTATCCTTGGTTATATTTCTAATCTCTCTGATAAGGTTAATTTTTCTCAAAACAAATTTGTTGGACTGCCAACGGTCATTTCATTGGCCTAAACAGGAAGGGATGAGTCAGAATTCTATTCTGAAGGTTTTTGTGTCTGGCACTTTTCCAGGAAATACCATTTGGAGGATCAAAGGCTATGTTTTGCAGACACTGAACACAAGAAGCCTGCATTTAGCTGTTTTAATTACACATTTTTTAAGTTTCATCACAGGACTTAATGTCTTTTTTTTACAGTGCTTCAGTATATAATCCTGTTAGGAAGCTGCAGATTTATAATGAAGCAGGAAGTAGCAATGTCATCGTTTCAGCTGATTGTTTCCCTTGTGCTGTAGTGTATTAACTAAGTAATGCTTCACTTGCCTGTGTAGAGCCAATTGCATTCTCAAGGACGTCAGGCATGCCTGAAGATGAGTCATTGCTTTTGGTACAGCACAAAAGGTATGAGATGCGGTCTCAGCAAGTGTTTGTCCATTGAAGTCGGTTAATAACCTATAGCCTTCTCCCATGGCAAGATGCCACAAATCAATCTTTTGTGCATTCACCAAACAGAAAGGCTGGTGTATGAGCTGCCTCTTCGGTATCATCCCTTTAGTCCCATTCCTAGAGTGAGGTGTTAATCTGCAGAGAGATTTTTCATGTCACATAGACCTCTCCTTCCGCCCCGCTTCCTTGAGAGCGTTCCAGAGGCAGCAGTCACAAGGGTAGCCATTAAAACCAGGGGAGAAGCACCACAGGGTTTTACATGAGTGCCTGCAACGTCCTGTGGACTTCCTTAAGATTTGGGGAACCTATAAAATCGCAGAGCCAGCCCCTGGGAAGTAACTTCCTCCTGAGGAAAATGGATGGGGCCAGTCAGGAAAATTACACAAGACTGAATTCTACAGTGTTTACCCTGCAATCACTTTTTTTTGTTTGGTTTTTTTTTTTGTTTGTTTGTTTTTTTGTTGGAGATAATGAAACAGCTGGCAAAATCAGTTTTTCCTCTGTCAGGAGATGTAAAGTGGCTTTGGTGCCATTCCAATCCATATGGCAAAGGATTCCTTTTCCTCGACTCCCGTGGCAGTCTTCAGTGCAATGCCTGATTAGTTAAGGCCATGGGCAAGAGGGAGCTACCTTGTAATAGGCAGAAGTTATTAGAGGATGGTGTTGTCAAGCCTCCGTGGGGTAACGGTGATCACTGCACGCTTTTAGTTTTGATATCATGAAAGAATTGTTCCCTTAGGGACAACACAGTAACAACGAACTTTAAAAGGGCAGATTATAAAACTATGAGGAAAACGGTTAACAGCAGGCTGAAGGGCAAAGAGAAGTACTTAAAAACCATAGAGATCTGCCTGGAGGCTATTTAAGAACATTGTATTAGAGGCACAGATGGTTTGTATACCTCTGAGCAAAAACATAGCGTATGAGGAAGAATGAAACTCACAGGGTTACGTGGGAGAACAGCGTGAGCGTAGAAAGGTTGAAAACGCATCCCTTAAAAATGACAACTGTCTGAATGACAGACTAGGAAACGTTACCGGGAGAGTGGAAAGAGCTGGAAAGCATCAGTGCTAAGAAAAAGACTATAGCAGCTGCTGACTTTGGATCCCCAGGATGAAACACCGAAAAGAGTGATTCCAGTAATGTCCTG